GTGTATAGTATCCTTAAAAGTATCCTTGGAAGATGATGGGAGCAGCAAATTAAGACCACTGTCACCGAAAATGTCCTGTTTCTGTATGGGCAAATATTGGGATGCGATTCGAATTCATCCATAAGCTTTTACTTAATGAATGCAAAATGCTCGCAAAATGGTTCGTTGCTATGCTTTCTCGCCCACCTTCTTCTCCCTTTGCCTCCTCGCAGTCCCCCACTTTAAAATTTTTCTTCTCACGATGATTTCAGTACTTGCTGCTAAGCCCAGTCCAGAATTTGTCCTTTGGATGCAACACATCGCTGTCTGGAGGATTTGCATTAGTAATAGACTTTTAAAATGACGATGGGCGCTTGCTAAAGAAAAGTAGGACGAATTCGTTAAGCTCGTAATGAAAGACAGTGCAAGGCACATGTTTTAAGCCTCATTTACTTTGACTCCTTTCTGAGGTTTTTCATACAAAAAATGCTAAGATTGCCCGAGCAGTCAGTATGGATATCTCATGCTAGTGATGTTACTAGGACAATGATATACCGGGCGTGTGCGAATATACCAGGCCTTTCGATTGGGAATATTTCTTATGCGTACTCAAAAAAAAAACATTCTGAGTCGAGTTTGCTTACTTACACATTGCGTCTACATGCCTAGTATTTCTAATCATAAACCAGTTCCAGTTAAATTTATTTTCCTAATTTAATGGTTGATAGTCCTTGTAGTTTCTTCTAGCCAAATTCTCTTAACCTACTGCTGGTGTTGCCCTTCAGCCTTTTAGCAAAAATCATAAGGAAAGCCAGGTTCGAGTTTTTGGCCTACTAATTGGAAGTCAGCCTTCCAGTTCTCAGTATAGCTTGCGAACTGATCAGAGGGATTAGAGGGAAGATGACTGTCATAAAAAAAAGAGGAGGGAGAAGGCGAAGAGTGAGGGGAAAAGGTCGGATTAAAGCTAGGTCTTCTGAAGTGCGCACTTTCGAAGTCTCTTTTTAGGACCTTTATCATATCCAAAACCGAAAATAGGAAAGTAGGGGTGGAAAGCTATCCATGATGGTGGGGCATGATGCGCTGCCATAAATCACAGCTTCTAGCAAATTATCCTGAAAAACAAAATGGCTGATGGCATCAGTGTGTGGAGCAGCTCACAGCTCTCCCAGGAATAGGGAGCACCTCCGATTTATCTTCATTTCGAGCAGAGCATTTTGATTTATTTTTGTCTTTATACGTTTTGTCTGCAACAGCTGCGCAAAACATATATGATCGAGATCTTGCCTGTATATCTGTAGGGTATATTTTATGCGGCGTTTTCAACTTAAGGACATGAAAACCTAGGACGCTGAAATTTCAGAAGGATATTCTCCATCCGTGTGATCCCGCAAACTTAAAGCTCCCCACTTCTGCGTAGAACTCGCATGAAAATTTTGGCGGGGAATTTTAAAACTCGGGAGCCAAAAAAGCTTGAAACTTGAAATTTCAGGCAGATATTTTTTGCCCACTTGCAATTGTAACAATTTAGGCTCAGCTTTCAAGTGCCCTCATGCGCAGAGGCATGAAGGTTTTAGTGGGAAATTTTCTATCTCAGAAACCGAGAAGTTAGAAAGCTGGAATTTAAGGCTTATGCTTCAGTTAACGCGCGGTCCTGGAATTTCGAACTCAGCTTTCGTGTCTGCTTCGGCACTTACGAATGCCCGAAATTTCAAGCGCGAAAATTTTTAGTCTGGGGAATAAAAAAGACAGAATGTTAGAATTTTCGCATGTTTGTACGTGAGAATCGGATGTACTCAGAAGATGAATTTGAAATCTCCAGATCGCACACGGAAAAAGAACACCACCCTAAAATTTCAACTTCTTAGCTTACTTATTGTCTGAATTAGCAATTTCCCAGCCAAAACTTTCACTTGTCCATGCGTAAGACTCAAACTTGCGTGAATGTTGATATTACGTTACTGGGATGACAGTTGGCCGAGTAACTCACTGACAAAGATTCAGTATCTAAGTTTGTTCATTTGCTGAGTTGAAGCACCCAGACAGGTGAATACATACACACATACATGCATACATACAAAAATACATACATACATACATACATACATACATACATACATACAT